TATTATTATTATTATTATTTTTCGAGGGATTTGACAATTTGAAAAATAAAATTTTTTTCTTATCGATATATATATACATATACATAAATAAATAATTAACTTTGGAAAATTTGAGTTATGAAAAACATAACGGTGGAAAACAGTAAAACAGTAACTTTTTTTTTTCCTCACTCCCTCTCACTCTCTCTCACTCTCTCTCTTTCTCTCTCTCTTTTTTTTCGTAAATCTCAAAGGGCAAAAAAAAAAATTGCATATTCAAAATGTTTTTAGTAACGCCCTCATTTCAATGATGTTTTCTTTATTGGATTTAACCTCGGGCCCTTACGACCGTTGTTTTATGTTTTGTGCACGTGCTCATTGTTTTCTTTTTTTTTCCAGGGAGAAAAAAATATTATCATTATTATTATTATTATTATTATTACGTGTGTATGTTACAATAGTCGGAGTATTGTAGTAGTAGTAGTAGGCCATCAGCTAATTGTCGGTGGTTATTTATTATTATTATTATATTCACTTTAATTTATTTTATTTTCATTCCATCGAACGTTACTTAATTTTATTAAATTTTATGACGTCATCATCATCATCATCATCATTATTATTGAAATCATTTAAATTAAAAAAAAATAAAAATAATAAAATTAAAATTAAATAATTTGACGACGATAAATAAATTTTTTATTTTTTTCTTTCTTTCTTTTATGTTGGCACGACTGAACGAAATCATTAATCGTCGATTTATTTATTTATTTATTATATAATAAATTTAATAAAATTATAATAATAATAATAATATTATTATCATTATTAATTTTTATTTTTTATTTTGTTTTCTACCAACCGTTTTTACGAACGCTAATAAAAAATATAAAAATAAAATAAAATTTTATTTTATTTTTAATTTTTATTTACATACGTACGACCGTGTAAAAAATCAATAAAGTAATGATGATGATGATGATAATAATGATGATGATAATGATGATGATGATGATGATGATTTTAATTATTGTAAATTTATTAAATGAGAGAGATTTATAAAAAGGGAAAATAGCATCCGTAATGATGAATCGGATGTTTTTTTTGTTTTTTTTTTACTGTCGGGGAAGATGAGGGAGAAGATGGAGGGAAGATGAGGGGGGAAGATTGAAGGAGGAAATAGAATAAAATGGGGAGAAAAAAATAAAATTCCAAGACGTTGTAATTAAGTGTATAAAGAAGTAAAAGTTTATGTAGTGACATTGAGCAACGCACAATTACAGACAGTCATGGCTCACTCGGTGATGATGGGGCGAGAAGAAAAGAAGAATCTTTCTTTAATTAGGTTTTTATTCACTGTTATTTTATATTCTTCTTACACGTTTTTCTTATCGTGGTCGTAGTCGTAGTCGTCGTCGTCGTCGTCGCATCCATTTTATTTTTTTTTCTGCTTTTTTTTTTTTAATTTCTTCTGTTCTTTTGCCAAAAAAAAAAAAATTTTAATTTCTTTGATTTAAAAAAAAAATTGGACGATTCAATTAATCGGTTTGTTTGTTTGTTTGTTGATTCGTTTGTCGTACGTATAAAAAAATTAATTTTCATGATATTTTCATGGGTCTTCTTCTTTCACAAAAAAAAAATTCAATTAAAAAAATTTTCTTATCGGTTCATAAAAATTAATAAATATAAACGACGATGGACGGTGACAGTGGAAGAAGATATTTTTTAAATTATCCAACAGTGGCAACAGAAAAATCGACCGACCGGTCGTCGGACGACCAGCCGACGGTTGAGTCGATTAATTTTTATAGTACATTGACTTTTAATTTATATATAATTATGTATAATTTCACGCGAGTGTGAATTTATGTAAAAAATAATTATTTATTTATTTCAAAGAACGAACGTGAAAATATTTTTTTTTTTTTGATAGAACGCCGACGAACGGGGGTGGGGAGGGCGGGGGAGGGAAATTTTTTTTTTATTAAACGTTAACCGGTCGTAGAATTTTTTAGAATTTAATACGATGACGTAATAGTAATAATAATTTTTTTCTTTATGGGGAAAAAAAATTCGATTGGTAAATATCAATTTAGAAAATATTAAAAAAAAATGTTTAAATTGTAGGTTTAAGTAGTAGTAGTATCTGCTGCCACGGCGTTTTTTTTTGTTTTTATTACAAAACAATCCGACGAAAAGAAAGAAAAGAAAAATATTAACCGAGTTACGAAGTAATTTTTTTTTTGTTTGTGACGTAAAAAAAATTATTAGATTCGTGAAAAATTTAATTATAACGTCGGACGGATTCGTATTAGTCACACACAACCGACATTTTTTTTTTTTCGTCAAAAATTTAATTGGATTTTGTAAAAAAAAAAAAAAAACGGGTAAAAATTTCGGTTAAAAATTGTTCAGTCAACCACGCGAAAAATAAAAAAAAAAAAAACTAAAAAAAAAATAAATTTTTTTTACGACATTATAAAAAAAAAAATTTCAAATTTCAAATTATTATTATTATTATTTTTCGGGGATAAATTTTTTTTTTTGTGGGAGGTAATAATGCTCGCGCAACAAAAATAATAAAACGTTTGTCGATTGATTTTTTTTTTTTTGGCAAATGAAAAACGAAAGTTTATTTTGAAAAAAAATAAAAACGGAAATCCATAGAGTAAAAAAAAAAAAAAAAAAAAATTTCGTTTAACACGGTTGGTTGCCGCTGCCTCCTACTTTCAATTGCATAAAAGGAAGGTCAAAGAACAATCAAAATTCAATTTCGTGTCTTATAGACCAACTAATCGATTTTATCAACAACATATCGATTTATGTTTGTTTGAAATATTCCTAGACCGTGACTTGCGACATTTTTTTTTTTTTTTTAAATTCAATTCGTATATATGGTTTGGTTGTTTTCGTTGTTGTTGTTGTTGTTTGTTATTCTTGTTGTCGTACGATAAATTGAAAAAAAAAAAAAATTTCTTCATGATTTCCAATTGGGAATTAACATCAATTTTATATTATTATTATTTTGTTTGTTTTCCCTTTTTTTCCCTTCCTTTCTCCTCTCTCACTCTCTCTCTCTTTGTCACACATCTCTTAAACTTTCCTCCAATTTCCTTTCTCTCTTCCTCTCTCTCTTTCTCTCACATTCATTTTCATTTGATGATGGCACGAACTCTCTCCTCTCTCTCATTTTTTTTAGATTTTAACGATTCGTAGGAGTTTTACGTTTCGCAATTTCCATCCGTCTATCATTTCTCTTTTTTTTCGAGATATCGATTTACAATCGATTTATTAATTATCGATCAAATATCTCGCGATAAAATTATTTTTCTTTTCACTCGAAATATCTTTTCAATCGAAATTCTTTTTGCAAAAATCATCGCGAATTATTTTTTTTTACTTATTATTATTATTATTATTATTATTATTATTATTATTATTATTATTATTATTATTGTAGGTAACAACACGTAAACAAACAAACAACAAACAAACGAAAAAATTCCCTTTCACTTTTTCTTTTATTTTTTTTATTTCGTGTGTGCAAAGTTTAAATAAAAATAAATTAAATTTATGTTTACGGTTTTTTTTTTTTAAAACAAAGACAACCTTCTTGCAAATGAATGAATAAAAAAATGAATGAATGAATGAATGAATGAGTGTCTGAACGAATGCGTTTGTAGTATGACAAATAAACCGTGAAGGTATACAACTCGTACAAACGGTAATTAGAAATATGACCGGTCATTATATATAAATATATATTAACAAAAAAAAATAATAATAAAAAAAAACTTTATTAAAAATTTTTTGTGATTCCTAATCACACGAAAAAAAAAAATGAGATCATTAATAAACAGGTACAACAACCGAAATCATTTTCAACTCTCTACAAACGACTTAGGTACGATGATAGAAACGGACGTAGGGAGGTTGTGTATTCTACGAAAAAAAAAATTAAAACTAAAAAAAAAAAATACGGTTGTCGCCATTGATTACGACGATATCGTTTTTTTTCCATTTTACAAAACGAAAAAAACAACAAACGACAACTACAACAACAACAACTAAAAAAAAAAAACGAAACGAAACGAAAGGAAAAAGTTTAATGATTGTTAACAAGAAAAAGAAAAGCGCGAGGGATCATTAAAATAAGAGAAACAACATGTATTTCACTCGTTTGTTTCAAGGTGTTTGTTTCTTGTCATGTTTTCAGTTGAATCCCATGAGATTCACCCTTTTGCGATGAATGACAGTGCGAACAGCAATACCTTAATGGAAATTTTTTTTAAAAACTCGTTTTGTTTGTTTTTTTTTTTTGCGTTCGTTTCCGTTGTTTGCCTTTCGTACAAACGTTTGAATTCGATTTTATACCTGAAAATTTTTTTTCATTCTCCTCCTCCTCCTCTTGCTCCAACTCCTTCGATTAATTTTGTCTGCCACGTTTTGGCAGTGTGATAATCATCGATAAATTTCATTCGTGTTGAATTTTCCGTCGCATCCGTTCGCCATTTTGTTTTATTACCGTAATTAATTTTTTTTTTTTCAACCTTCTTCGAAAAAAACAATTTGTTTGTTTTATAGCAAATTCGTTAAGTAAAAACAAACGGGGGTTACGAAATTTAACGAAATCAAATAAGTTAAATTATCGCATCGTGTAATTAGAATAATTTTTTTTTTTATTAGTTCCACGTTTGATATTTAATTAAATTCATATATAATTTTTTTTTTTTTGTAAAAATGAATATTAATTTTATATTTTGCCCCAAAGGGGCAAAAAATTAAATTAAATTTTCATTTTTCATCCTTGAAAACAAGCAAGCTAACAAACAAACAAACAAAGAAACACATTATTAAACCTTTCACTATTTTTTTAATAAAATTTTTTGTAGGTTAAAATTGTAAATTGTTTATAAAAAATTTCAATATTCGTACCATTCGCTTTTTTTTATTTATACGTAAATTATTTAAAATCGTGGCATTAGATTATTGAAAATTTTTCTTTTTTTATACGCAGACGTATGTTTCCAACGTTAAGAGTGTCTTTTACCGGTGTGAGACCGGAACAAAAATACGCGGTACTCATGGACATTGTACCCGTTGACAACAAACGATACCGTTATGCCTATCACAGATCTTCCTGGCTTGTAGCCGGTAAAGCCGATCCTCCAGCACCTTGCAGACTTTACATGCATCCAGATTCTCCATTTACTGGAGATCAATTAAGAAAACAAGTTGTTTCATTTGAAAAAGTCAAATTAACAAATAACGAAATGGATAAACACGGTCACGTGAGTATATTTTTTTATTATTATATGAGATAACAAAATACATATTACCAATGGTAATAATTCCAAAAATAATTTTTTTTTTTTTATACAGTTGGTATTAAATTCGATGCATAAATATCAGCCGAGAATACATTTAGTAAAACGATACGAATCCACTGGTAATTTACCGGTAACGGATTTAGAACAAGAAGAATTTAAAACTTTTATTTATCCCGAATCTGTATTCACGGCGGTAACAGCATATCAGAATCAACTGGTGAGTAATTTTTATTACCGGTAATTTTTTTTTTTTTTTTAATAAGTCGAATCGGAAAATTTTTTTTCCTGTTAAATATTGAAAGGTTATTATTATAAGGTAATTATTAGCAAAATTTTAATATTATTAAAAAATGATGATGATGATGAATTTGCTGATGGAAACATTTCAGACATTTTTTTTTTTTCTGAACAAATCATTACCCGTTTGTAATTGACAAAAGTTTGTTTGTTTAAACAAACGGTTTAAATGACAGACGATAGGTTTTCAATTAACAACATTAAGAAAAATGTTTTTTTCTGGCTCGAAAACAAAAGCGTACACATTTTTCTTCTTTTTTTTTTTTTGTTTGTTTGTTCGTGTTTGTCAATTGACGGATTTCGTTTGTTATGTTTTTGTTTTGTTGTTGTTTTCTTTTTTTTTTTTTTTTGTTCGATGTCATTTTCGAGAAAGAATTCGATGATAAACGTTTCCTTTTGTTGACATCATGACTATTATTTAAATCCTATGAGAAATTTTAACAAACTGTTAACTCGATATTCGATAATGATAACGTTTGTTTGTTTGTTTGTTTGTTTGTTTGTTACTTTGTTTTCGAGGGGAGGGGAGAAGGGGCAAATCATTTCAACCTTATAGAAAATAATAATTTTCGCCATGATTTATAATTAAGACGAACAACAAACATTCGGTTAAAAATTTTAATTCATTTCTTCGTGCAGACGACCACACACACACGCACACGCACACATTCACACACATATGCGTCGGTATTTTCCAGTTTTATTTAAAAAAAAAAAACTTTTGTTAGATAATAATAATTTTTTTTTGCCAAGTGTCTTACTTTTTTTTTCTAGCATGGTCTACTGGTTTTTCGTGTCATTTTAACAATTTTTTACAAGCATGACTAAAAATTTTATTTTGTTCGTGTGAATTTGCCGCTTTGGTTATTTTGCCGTTTAATTTTTAACCGCTACTACTACTACTACTAAACATTTTCCAAAGGAAATGTTTATGTAGATAAAATTTTCACCGTAATCATCATTATTATTATTATTATTTTAAAATGTTTTTTATATATTGATTTCTGTGATTTTCACGCGACACACCTGGATAAAAAATTTTAAATTTATGGAGATTTGTTTAAAAAAAAAAATGTTTTAATTGACAAATTTTTTCATTATTTTAACAACAACCAAAGACAGCAGATGTTTGTGTTTGTTTGTTTGTTTTTTTTTTTTTTACATAAGTTTTTATTAAAATGACAACGTTTTGATTTTTTTTTTTTTTATAATTAATTTTACGTAAAAACGAAATAAAACAATGAAAAAATGGAGAGAAAAAATATTTCTTCTCTCTCTCTCTCTCTCTCTTTTCTCTTTTTCTATCTCTTTCTCTCTCTTGTTTAAAAACAATGTTTCGAGTTAAAGGAGGTGGATAAGAAACCGGAAACGAATTAATAAAAACGGATTTCTGTTGTTTAAAAAAAAAAAAAAACAATTATTATTATTCATCATCATCATCATGTTTCATTCAACTCCTACCCGTGAATTTTTCCTCTCCCCCTCCCTCCACCCACTTCCTTAAATTTTCTTAATTTTAGTGTTTTTAAGTATTTAGTCGATTCGTTTTTTTTTTTTTTAGTCGTATATAATCAACAGTTTTCATTTTAAACGTTTTGCCTACGCAAAATCTCAGCCGAAAAAAAACTATTATTTATTTTTTAAATATTTCTTCTGCTTTTCCGGCGTATCGATTAATCGATTATTTCTTTAATTATTACGATTCATTTCCGTTCAGCCATTTTGTATTTTTTCATTTCATTTCATCGATCACTAGTTTATTATTTTCCTATCGCTTACAAAAAAATTTCATAGAGTAAATAAAATGAACCGGACGATAGAGAGGGGGCTCCCTCCACTTCTCATCTTTTCACACACGCATTCACGCACGCACTCACGCATTATATAAATAAATAATAATAAAAAACGATTTAACTTAATTTTTCATTTTCCCAGCGTAAAAAAAATAAATAAATAAATAGGAACAAATTTTTTATTCCCTATTTAACAAGATTAAAATCAAAATGTTCAGAATCAGATTCGTTCAGGTTTTGACCTTAAATGGAATAATAATAATAATGATGATGATGATGATGATGATTATGGCGATGATAAAAGAAACGGAAAGAAATTTAGGGGAGAGGAGAGGGAGGGAGAGAAAAAAAGGTGGTTTGTCAAATAATTTAACATATGAGACGTTTGACATATTTTTAAATATTTCTGGAATGTTCTATGGAATTTTCATTCCCATTTTATACACGTTGTTGTATATATATTTACTCTCTCTCTCTCTCTCTCTCTTTCTCTCTCTTTCGTTTCGTATATTTATATATATCTGTAGTTAATTAGTAGTTCTTAAAAAAATTTTCCATCCATTTTTTTTTCACTCTCTTTAATTTTTTTTTTTTTTTTGCTGGAAGTGTTTCGTTAGTGTTATTATCATTATCATCATCATTATTATTATTATTATTATTATTATTATTATTATTAGAGTTTTTACGCGAAGGGAACTCTACTTATAATCATTATTAATATTTATTTTGATTAATGAGTAGAAAAAAAAAAAATTTACGGTACATTTATACTTTCGGGGGGGACCACCCTGGAGAAAATGATTCCAAAAAAAAAAAAAAACGCACGAACGCACGCACGAACGCCTTGAACGTAGATTATTCGTGTGTTAATTTGAAACTTTTTAACGGTTTTTTTTGTTTTAATTTGCAAAAAAAAAAAGAGAGAGAAAAAAATGTTATTAATTTTATTTTTGGTTTAAACTCTGAAGGGGAAAAAAATTTTTTTTAAAATGTTTTTGTCGTCGTCGTGGCTTGATGCTGTTGCTGTTACTGCTGCCACGGTTGTTGCTTACTGCTTCCCCAAAATTTTTTCTTGTCTATTCAAAATCGAATTTTTATTTTGGAATTGTAACCATATAGAAAAACATGATTTTTGTATTTGTTATAACTATCGTAAATTATCGTAATTTAATCTAGTGCCACGAACGAAAAAAAATTGATTTACAAATGAAATAATTTACGACGTCGTTCGTTTTGAATATTGCTGCAGTTTAAAATTTTTTTTTTTTTTTACGCGTTAAAAAAAGACGAAAAAAATGTGTGCGTGAGTGTGTGCGTGCCACGCACTCACGCACACACACATATCTCGCAAATCTCGTCATTTATTTTTAAATCTACATAAAAGATTACGTAAAATCTTTAAAAGTCTACAACGGCAGCAGCAGGAGGAGCAACAGCAAAAAAAAAATTTTTTTTTTTATTTATTTAAATGAGCGCTTAAAAAAGATTTTTTAAACATTTTTTCGTTTTAATTTTTTTTAATTAAAAAAAGAAAAAATTCATTTCTAAAAAAAATTTCTTTTCCTTTTTTTCTTCTACCACGAAGCAACGTTTTTGTCGTGTTCATAGAAAAAAAAATTTTATAAAACGCATTTACAAATGTCAATTTTTTTTATTATTCCTCATGACCGATCACATTTTGCAAATGTTTTTGAGTTTTTATAGTTTATTTTAGTAATTGGGCCACCCGTGTGGTTGACATATAAATTTTACGTAACGCCGATAATAATAATGATAATAATAATAATAATAATAATATCATTGAATTCATCTATTTCATAAGTTTGACAGTTGATGTTATTTTATTATTTAATGGATTGAATTATGAATAATCTTTTACCTTTTCACCTGGTTTATACGTCGGGTTAATTATTTTCAAATATTTTAATGTCGTTTTTACAACTGACGCCAACGCACACACGCACACGCACACACATGTACACTCCATGCGTCAGACGTTTTTCTTACACGTTTTTTTCACTCTCTCTTTTCCTTCTCCTTTTTTTTCCTCTTTCTTATCGCGAAATTTTCAACGGTGGATTTCGTTTTTGTGAAACGCATAAATATTTAATTTTTTATTTTTCAATATATTTCGAGAATCGAAAAAAATCGAATGGTGAATTATCGAAGTTACGACAAAAAAAAAAAAAATTTTCCTTAAAATTATATCGAATTCGAAAAATTTACACATCAAACGAATCGTAATAATAATTAATCGAAATGATTGTGTATTGTAATCTTCGATACATCGAACGATCTATCAAAGATTACAATACACAATAAAGAAAAAAAAAAAATTTATTATTCGTAATTTGAGAGAGAGAAAGAGAGAGAGTAAATCATTTCACGTTTTACAAATAAAATTATTCTTAAAAAAAAATTAAATTTATTACTCGCTTTATTTAATTTACTATTATTATTATTATTTTCGTCACGACTTTATTTAATATCCAAAATAGTAATAATAATAATAATAATAATAATAATAATAATAATAATAATAATAATAATAATAATAATAATAATAATAATAATGACTAAATTTTCTTTTTTGATTTTAACAAATCAATCGTTCGGATTATATAAATTAGCAAACGTTTTTTTTCCAACCAAAAAAAAATAATAATTACTCTTTCGATATAATAATAATAATAATTTTACGGTTTCATCAAAAGAATTATTCGTAATCATTTCTTTATAGTAATAAAATAATAATAATAATGGATTATAATTTTGAATAATAATAATAATAATAATAGAAACGGTAGTACTTGGTTTCGTACGCTATCATTTTATATAGCAGCTACCGTAAGAGAGAGAAAAAAAAAATTATTACTTTTGTAATAAAAAAAAAAAAAAAATTTTTTTTTTTTAATATTGGTAACATTGATTACGGTGAGTAATTTTTTTTTTTTATTTTCAAAAGTTTAAAATTATTACCGGATTTTATTATCGGATAATTTTTTTTTTCTTCTTCTTGTACAAATCAATTTTCTATAAAATATAATTTGAAAAAAAAAAAACTTTTTTTTTTATGAAAGTGGTAGACACGTAGGCGATGTACAGTAATAATAATAATAATAATAATAATAATAATAATAATGATAATGATAATAAAATTACTTTCTTACAACCAGTGGCAGTCATTTTTAAATGACGTGTTGAATTCGGTCAGTAAAAAAAAAAATTTTTTTTTTATGTGTTTGTTCGGTTGTTTTTACGTTTTTTTTTTTTTACTGCTGATTGGATTGTTTGTCACATTTCTTTGGAGGAGGGGGATGAAGCACGTCGACGTGTAGGGAATAAAAAAAAAAAATTACCCCTTTGGATTTTGATTGTGAATTTGGAAAATTTTTTTTCTAAAAGGGATGAAAAAGAAAATGTCTAGCATTTGTAGTCGTAATTTTTTTTATGGGGGTGGGAGTAAGTGTGTGGGTGTGCGGGTGTGCGCGTAGTGCGTTTCACACCCTTAGATGTAATGTCAATTATTTTATTTTTTTGTTTGTTTGTTTCATTTCAGATTACAAAATTGAAAATAGACAGTAATCCTTTTGCCAAAGGTTTTAGAGATTCTTCCAGGCTCACGGAGTTTGAAAGGTAAAACAAACAAACAAACTCACGTTTCCTTTCCCCTTCTTCCCCCCTTCTACCCCCCTTTTTTGGTGGGTGTTTTTTTGAATAAATAATATTATTAAATTTTAGAGAAACTATGGAATCGATGTTAGCCGAACAGCATTATCTTAGATCTCCAATAAGAACATTTTCGGAATTAGATACTCATAATAATAATTTAACATTAGAAGAAAAAGCATTACTGGCAGCAAGATCACAATTGTTTTTAAGGGCGGCAGCAGCAGCAGCCGGTCCTTACAGTTCACTTATGAGTCCGATATGGGGAAATCCTGGTACGGGTGTACCACCGGTCGGAATACCACCGGGTATGATATGGAGCCAATGGGCGTGTTTAGGACCATCTATATTAGCCGCTCATCATCAACACGCTCATCATTTAGCCGCTGCGGCGGCTGCCACGGCCACGAACACGGCATCAACATCATCAAATACATCTCCCACCTTAAGCCTTCCTAGACCCCTTTATCCGGTCCCCTCATCGTCATCCTTATCACAGCATCGTTATTCTCCTTATAAGCCTCCTCCTGCGTCTAATTTAAGGCGAGCATCTCCTCCGGTGTCTTCCCCTGAAAGTTGTCACGACGTGACTGATAGGCACTGTCACAGTCCTAATCCGACGTAATATAAACCCACGATATTAATAATAATATTAATTATCATACGAAATACATCGTCATCGTGTAACTCGCCAAAGATATTTTTGTCTTAAAAAAAACAAAATGGCGGCGGTAACTATAAAAAAAAAAAAAAAAACTCGTTTATAAATAAATCGATAAATATATTTATTAGGCCTTTCAATGTAAAACATTAACGCCGCGAAATTTTTTTTTTTTTATTAATTACTCGTTTGATAATGATAATGATAATGATGATGATGATGATGATGATGATGATAATAACAATAATTAATTACAATTAAAAAAAAAAACTTTTATATTCGCAGGAATAATAATAATAATTATTATTGTTTCTTTAATATTGCGGCTTTAATTTTTAAATTTTTGTTATGTACAGAATTATTATTATTATTATTTTTTTTTTTTTTTAATACAAAAAATTATCATTGCCATTGTAATTTAGTTCCTTGTAATTTATACTTTATTATTATTATTATTATTATTATAAATATATAATATAAAAACTACAAGGCATTTTTTTAATTTTTTTATTATCTCCTCTATTGTTCCTAGAGATCTCCCTGAGTAGGGGGATCCCACGGACTTTTTTTTCCTTTTCCCCCCTCCCTTCTCCTGTCCTCCCCTCCCCATTTTACGAACGAAACAATTAAAATTTAATTCTTTAACGTCTTAAATGCTTAAAACGCTAAACAAGACCGATTAGTACAAAAAAACTTTATCCAGATTTATTTTTAGATGAAACAGCAAAAAAAAAAAAGAAAAAAACGGCAAAAACCACGCGATTTCAACATCAATAAACTACAGCAAAAAAAAGAAAGTAATAATAATAATAATAAATTGTCAGATTCTTTTGTCGTTTTTTTTTTTTTTACGTCCACTAATACAACGTCAATTGATAAAAAATTATATTTAAGGGTGGTTTTCTTTTTATGTAAAATTAAGGGTGGATTTTTGTTAGTAATATTGCAATTATATTTTTTTTTTTTTTAAGGGGTTGAAAATCGGTCAAAAAATCAAACGAACAACAACTTATTATTATTATTATTATTATTATTATTATTATCGTGATAAAAATTATTTTTTTACGAATTGCACACAACAACCTCGTCAGTAAAAAAAAAAAAAAGGAAAAATTTTAGAGTCGTCGTGGAAAATGGGATGAGGTGGGGGAGAGAGAGAGAGAGATGGAGGAAAAGAGGAGAGGGGTAGGAGGAGAGAGAGAGAGAAGGGAAGAAGGGAGGCCTCTAATTTATGCTCGCAAAAACTTTCTGGAAGTTATGCGATGTAGGAAAACGTATTCAAGATCTTTCGATTTAAATTTCATCATCCCTAAGGACCAAAACCTTGAGATTTTATTATATCTGGAGTCTCCAGTCGTTTTTTTTTTCGACTCTGATAAGACGACTGATAAGCCGGAATGAATTAAAAAATAAAAAATGTTTTCCCGATTTTTGTTAAAACCGGAAATGAATTTTATTTTTTTTTCAATTGAAAATTTTTCAAGCGGAAATTTATTAAATTTAAAATAATAATTTTAAACCGTCGACTGTTGTTTTTTTTTAAATGGCGCCATTTTTTTTTTCAAATAAAATATTCAAAAAAAAAAAAAGCGTTCGAACGTTTTTGGGAAAATTTTTTTTTTAAAGTGGAAAACGACGCGAACGGGAAAAGTTAAGTTAAAAAAAAAAAAAAAATTTTTTTTTCTTCTTTTTTTTTTCCTTCATCTCAACATTTCACGTTTCGCCATTTTATTTATTTATTTTTTTTTTAAAAAAAAAAGTTCTTTCGAAACGGCCATTTTGTTTTTTTTTTTTTACAATACGAGAAAATTGTACGAATGAAAAATAAAAAAATATCTTTTTTTTACTTAGCCTCATAAATATTTTTGAAAAATTTTTTTTTCGTTTTGACTTTTGGCGAACGCGAAAATTTATACAATCGCTACAAACTTTTTAATTAGACAAACACATTTTATCGCGTTTGTTTTGGTTTTTAAAAAAATTCCAAAATAATATCATCAAATTGTGATAACACGTGAATATGTGCGACACACACACACACACACGCACCTTGTGTGGTCACCAACACATCTGTGATGGTTGTAGGTTGTGTGCATCAAGTATCGTCCATTTGAAAATGATAAATTTCTTTCGGATGAAGTCGTACAAACGGCCGCCATTGTGTCTTCTTCAATCTGCCTCATTCATTATGTCATGTCAATTTTTTTTCTAAGGGGGAGGGGGGTTTTGAATTTCTTTCATAACATTTTTCTTTCAACAAACTATAATTGAGTCTGGTTTTTATTCGGATGAATGATTATACAGCCCGACACACACATACAACCGGGGTTGGTTATTATTATTATCATTATTATTATTATTACTTTTCAAATGAGACACCTTTAATTATTTTAATATCATTATATTGCATTTAGGTATCAATTTTAACGCCGTACACCCGAAGAAAAAAAAACCATCTGGTGTTTAGTATTTATTATCCACCTTAGTATGTTATTAACACACTCCAATAAGGTTTTTTTTCCCAATAATAATAATAATAATAACAGTGGGCACCACAATAATCGTTTGAGTATTTAATAATAAGTAGTAGTCGAATAATAATAATAATAAGAATATTATAAGAAAAAATAAGTATGGAAAAGATGTTTGTGGAACAAAACAAAAACAACCCCGATTTTTTTGGGGGGAGGAGGAGGAAAGATAAATTTCAATCGGGGAAGGAAAATAAGAGGAAAAAAAAAACAAACAAGGAGGTCGATGTTTGTTTGTACTGTTTGTTGAGGAGTACTTTAAAAAAAAATCAGGATAAAGTCAACGCCCTTAAATAATAATTTTCGAATGAAATGAAGGAAACTATCAAGTCGGTTGTTTTAATTGTTGTTGTTGTAGTTTTAACCCGAAATTTTTTTTTGTTATTTACGGCGGTAAAACGAGCGGTAAAACGGGCGGTAAATTTTAAAAGAAAAGGAAATGAAATCTGAAAAAAAATTTTATTAATTTAATTTAAAAAAATGGCGGAAGACGACACGAAGTGTGTGAGATGTATTTAAAAAAAAAAATAATGGTCAGTTTTAAAAACCGTTGTTGACCTTTTAAACAAAACAAACCCCTAACCCCTAACTCCGAGGAAGGAGGGGGGGTTAGGTAATTTTTTATTCATTTATTAAAATCAAGTTTATTATTATTATTTAAAATTAATTTTTAGGAAGATGATAAAATTCGATTGTTTAAGTAGTAGTACTACTACTACCAACATTAATGCCAGATGTTTGCGAAAACAAACAAACATTTTCTACCAATAACGAATAAAGTCATTATTAGTTTTAATGGAGTCATCTTATATATACAACCTTTCGATTGACAGTTATTTAATTGTGGACAAAGAATTATTGACCACCGGAGTGGTTTTGCATGGTTGATTCTAAATGATCATTGTGTTTAGATATAGAAAGATTGGTTGTTTATGACTCGTTGGACCAGTTTTTTTTTTTTTTAAATTATGGAAGGGCGTAGTCCATCTATCTACTGCCACTACTACTACCACTACCACTATTACAAACGTTGAATACCAATTGTGTGTGTGTGTGTGTGTGTGTGTGCCTGCCTGCCTTCTTCGTATTGCCTTCTTTTTGTATATTTTCTACTCTTGTCATTTATTAATGAGATTTTTATACTAATATAAAAATGACCCTTCTTATTCCACGACGTTTATTTTCTTATTCAATTTAAACATATATTTATTTATTTATTTATTTATCACCGTGGCCATCTTTGTAAAAAAAATCCCGTTCGCGTATTATCATCATTATCGCAGTTCAAAATAATAATAATAATAGTAATAAAAATAAATCACTTCCATCGTGAATAATAATAATAATAATAATGTAAAACCATCGGGTACGTTATTATTGTGACAGATTTTTTTTTTTTTTTCGGGGCGTTAGTCACACCATCGATATGTTTAAATAAAAAAACCTTCTGCTATCGGTGGCATCGAACAACACTCACACAACAATCGGTTTGGTTTCTTTTTATTATTATTATTATTATTATTATTAATGCGAGGAGGGAAATTAGGTAAAATAACCCAAAGGGCAATTATCCATCCTTCCACGATAAAAAGTTTTTTTTTTTTTAAATTTCTTGTGTTCTCTCTCTCTCTCTCTTTTTTTTCCCCGAAATTAAAGGGCAATTATTAAGAACATAAAAGGCATAATTCAGCCGGAAGGAAAATGCGTGAGGGGAGAAAATCGGAAACGTAATTTTAAAAATACTAAAAAAAAATATTTTTTGGTCGTCGTGTAACTAGAATGTAAAGTTTTTTTAAAACTTTTATCGCGTTGAAATTGGTTTCATATTTCTCGGCCGATCTTAAAATAATGATGATCTGGCCCTCGAGGAATAAGATATCCAGATTGACGTAAATGACGTCGTGCGTGTGCTTGTGCGTGGGTGCGTGTGCGTATTTGTTTTATTGTTTTCCAATGACTTTTTTTTTTCATCGATTGATTCATCATCGCGTGATCATTTAAAAAAAAAAAAAAATTGTCTTCTTACATTACTGACGACATTTTATTTTTTATGAAAAAATAATAATAATGATTTCTTATTCGATAGGAAAAAAATATTTTATTTATTTTAAAAAAAAGTTTTTTGTGCGTGTACGCAAATACGCACGCACATAAATATATGCATATTTACACACGCAGACGACGGTGGGAAATTTATTATATTTTTTATGTTGTTTTTTTTTTGCTCCGGAAATGAAAAAAAAAAAAAAATGGTAAAAGGTTTAAAATAGTAAGTGGTGGTGGTGGTGGTTGTGGCGGTAGAAGGAAATTGTGTGAGATAAAAAACGAGTGATAGAAAATGCGTGTGTGTGTGGGTGCGTGCGCGTGTAGAATTCGGATGATGATGGCGTAAGAAGTGAATTGTGTGGTATCGGCGCTTAGCAAACACTTTCC